GTGGGCATCTCCAACGTGTCGCTCCGCGGCCTGATACGTCGGACCGGGGAGGGGTAATTTGGGGGGGGGGGGCATAAGAGTCTAGACTCGCCCCGCTGACGCCATTTCTTAAGGTAACATTTCATAACAGGACAGCCTTATTATAAGAGCCTGCATTAGCCTTATTATAACAGTCTTTTAAATAATGGACTGCCTATGCCCAGAATTCATCTGAATGATCTGCATTCATATTACACTATCTTAAAACAGCCTGACTAAGAACTGCTTGCCTTAAAATAGCCTGTCACATAACAGTCTCCCGTGTACCAACTTTGCAACAGAACAACCTGCCTGCGAATGACATTTTCCCAGAAAAGCATGTCACAGACCAACCAGACTAATAACATCCTGCCTAAAAACGGAATGCCTGTGGACAGACTGCAACTGAAAGACCTTTAACAGGAGAGCGTTTCTCAATGCAGGCTGATTAATAACATTTATCCTCAAAACAGCCAGGCTATCAGAGACATCCTTATAACAGCTTGCAACTGAACAACTGACTCAGAATTGCCTGCAACAGAACATGTTTGAAAACAACCAGGCTCTAAACATCCTCTCCTAGAGCAGCCTGCCTCATAACATAATTCAACAGAACAATCTACCACATAATAACCTGTCACAGAAAGGCCTGCTTCATAACAGACTGACTCAAACAGCCGTATTCATAATAGTCTGTCACCGAGAAGCGTTCTCATAACACCCTGCAAGATAACAAACCTTACAGAACAGTCCCTCCAAGTATGGAATATCTCAGGACCTGACTTAAAGTAAACTGCTTGCTTCAGAATAACTGCCTCAGAACAATTCATGTCATAACAGCCTGTCCAATAAAAGCCAGCTTTACCTCGGCCTCCCTCCTAACAGCCTGCCATAGAACAGCATGAGACAGAAGGACAGGTCTTATTAGAGCCTGCCAAACAGAGGCCTGTATCAGAACAACTTATCTGAAAATGACAAAAAAATACCACAGAACCGCCTGACTTGGAATGTCCTGCCTCACATCGGACTGTCACAGAACAGCGTGCCTCATAACTAACGGCATCATAATAGCCTGACAAAATACAGGCTAAATAATTATTTATAACAGCCTGAAATAGAACACCAGAATGGCTTGGATCGTGTCAGCCTGCCTCAAATCGAAAACGTATCCCAAGACGTTACATCTTTAGCCAGCAACACAACATTCATCACAATACGTGCCACGCTACATAGTAGACATCACTAAAGCCAGAGAAATTCGTTAGCAGCGAATGAACAGTGAAAACCACGCTTTCAGGAATCAATCGATCTTTTCCTCAAACAAAACCACATAATCGGATAAGGCATCAGATGATTGTGAAGTAGAATCTTAAGCAGAAAGACAAGCGACATGGGCAGGTCACTGGCATCTACAGCTAATTTAAACTGTTTGTTAAAGTCTGGTGCAATGAGAACAGGAGCATTAGCAAGTATAATTTTAATGTTTTGGTTAAATGGTCGGTTGAAGTTATGGTTAAATGGTCGATTGAAGTTATGGTTAAATGGTCGGTTGAAGTTATGGTTAAGTGGTCAGTTGAAGGTATGGTTAAAACGGTCAGTTGAAGTTATGGTTAGAATTAGCCTCTATCCGATATAGTTACTCACCCTTGAGAACAATTACTCCCCCTTGTGAGCTGTTTCTCATCCCACCCCCCTGTGAGCACTTGTCAACATTTACTCCCCGTGTGTGCAGTTATCCCCCCCCCACACCCTTGCGAACAATTACTCATCTTTGCCGGCCCTCCGTTTATGACAACATGAGGTCCTATAATAGGATGCCCCACTCATGCCGACCCCATTCTTCGATGACCCATTATTCATAATCGCGTGCAGCTAAAGTTAGAAAATGACGCACCATGGAAACCCAACCAACCAACCCCCACTCCCCCAACCTCCACCCCCCCCCCTCTGTAGTTATTGGACTTAACATTTCACCCTATTTGGTCAACACGAGCTGACCCCATTTTTCCCCCTATTTGGGCAACCCGAGCTGCCCCCATTTCTACCCCCCCCCCCAGGGGTTGTGAGTCCTGACTACCTGGTGGGGAAAATAGGAAATTAAAACTTGTAACCAGAAAGAGGGTCTCTTAAAAAAAAAAGGGACACAGTGTTTGGCTTTGTGGGTATGTGGAATGGTGTGGACCGGTGTGGAGCGGTGTGGAGCAGTGTGGAATGGTGCGTGTGGGAAATTTTCGGTGACTATATTTAATATGTTAACAACAGATTGGGACGTGTCATATTGAAAATGTGGGGGACATATATATGCTTGCATTTTTTAACAATCAACAAAAAAAATATTAACAAATTGACATGTCATTTGAATTGGTCTGGTACAAAAATACCTTAACCCTAACCCTAACCCTAACCTGATTACAATCTTTCAATGATCCTGCTTAAACCCTGAGCGCTGGGTGACCCTTGATGAGGTAAAACGATGGAAATCGTCCATCGATGCCATTCTAACCAAAGCCTAATCTTTATATAGGCAAAAATTGATTGGTGTATATATACCGTATTCTCCCCCACCCCCTGCCCCCACCCCCACAATGTGCATCCCATTGTTTTTATCTGAACCCTAAAATTCGGTATGTGTTTGCACGCTTGTAAGCCACATGAAGACACCACACTGCACAGTCTGCACGCCACACGAGATCTCGTTCCGGCCTCGTGGTATCACGTGTCCTTCGCAGGACGGCTGCCATGAGGTCCACCAGGCACCGAAGACGCATTGGTTCTGTTTGCCGTTGCGACTCGACTTACGCCCGGCTTATGATAGTGTCGCGTTCTGACCCCTCGTGCTCTTTAGCTGGGCGAGATTTGGGTTTCTGAGCTGAACGTGTGGTCTCACGGGATCCTTTTGGTGTGGCGGCGCCACACTGTGTGGCCTATTTTTTTTTCCAGCCAATAGGACATGACAGTTGTCTTTGTAGATGGCATGACAGCTGGGTTTGTAGATGGCATGAGAGTTTTCTTTGTAGTTGGCATGACAGTCTTTGTAGATGGCATGACAGTTGTCTTTGTATATGACACGCCCGTTGCCAATCTTTTTTTTACATGAGCGTTGTAAAGCTAAACTTTATGAGGATCTATTACATGTAAAGTTAAAAAATAAGGAATAGATTAAATGTAAGGCATAAGTAGTGGGGGTGGGACACATGTTTTGTGTAGGGGTTGCATAGAATTATTATTTTTTGGTGGGACGAAAGATTTGTCAATTTATATATTTTTAAATTATGATTTTTTTTTTTAAATACTTTATTGAAGTTGGTCTTCATATGTTCGCCCTGAATTGATTTAAGAAAAAACATCTTAATGAATTTCATGGAGACCGTTATAATTGTTTTAAAACTTAAATGTTTGAGCATTTTCACATTTGACTTTATGATCCAAGTTGACTCTTATGATCCAAGTTGACTTTATGATCCAAGTTGACTTTATGATCCAAGTTGACTCTTATGATCCAAGTTGACTCTATGATCCAAGTTGACTTTATGATCCAAGTTGACTTTATGATCCAAGTTGAATTTATGATCCAAGTTGACTTTATGATCCAAGTTGACTCTTATGATCCAAGTTGACTTTATGATCCAAGTTGACTTTATGATCCAAGTTGACTCTTATGATCCAAGTTGACTTTATGATCCAAGTTGAATTTATGATCCAAGACTTTTACAGATAAGAATTCACAGAAAACATTAAAATTTTACGGGCCGCATTAAATATTTCAGTGGACCTCATGTTGCCCGCGGGCCGTAAATTTCCCATCCTAAAAAAAAGGGTGTGTGGGTTGTCAACTAAAGTTAACATAACAGACAGACCTGCCATTGTGTGCTACTCCCCCCCTCCCCTCTATTATTATATCTTAACACGCCTCTGAACAAAGTAAAAAAAAAAAAAAAAAATTCAAAGTGTAACCCACATCATATTAGTTGGAGCCAAGTCATTTCCCTTTAGCCCTGGAGTTATTTGTTATGCTGATCATGACTTTATTTGGTAAATGATAAGAGAGTGAAACAATGAAAACTGTCACACCTGCCAAAGCTGTCACGTTTGTCACACCTGTCATAGTTGCCACGTCTGTCAAGTATGTCACGTATGTCATAGCTGTCACGTCTGTCACGTCTGTTAAAGCTGTCACGACCGTCACACCTGTCGTAGCTGTCACGTCTGTCATAGCTGTCACGACTGTCACACCTGTCATAGCTGTCTTGTCTGTTATAGCTGTCTCGTCTGTCATAGCTGTCACGTCTGTTATAGCTGTCACGCCTGTCACGTGTGTCGTACCTTTCACGACTGTCATAGCTGTAAAGACTGGCATACCTGTCATAGCTGTCACGACTGTCACACCTGTCACGTCTGTCATAGCTGTCATGTCTGTCATAGCTGTCCCAACTGTCATGCCTGTCATAGCTGTCACGTCTGTCACGAATGTCAAGTCTGTCATAGCTGTCAAGACTGTCACTCCTGTCATAGCTGTCACGACGGTCGCACCTGTCATAGCTCACACAACTGTCACGTCTGTTACACCTGTCAGTCTGTCACGTCTTTCATAGCATTCCCGAATGTCAAGCCTGTCATAGCTGTCACGTCTGTCACGTCTGTCATAGCTGTCACGACTTTCACGTATGTCATAGCTGTCACGACTGTCATAGCTGTCACGCCTTTCACGTATGTCACAGCTGTCACGTCTGACAAGTCTGTTATAGCGTGTCACGTCTATCACGTCTGTCATAGCTGTCACTACTGTCACGTCTGTCACACCTGTCATAGCTGTCACGTCTGTTATAACTGTCCCGTCTGTCACGTTTGTCATAGCTGCCACGTCTGTCATACCTGTCATAGCTGTCACGCCTGTCATGTCTGTCACAGCTGTCACACCTGTCATGGCGTATTCCTTGATTTACCCCCAGATGACGTCAAAGATACAACTCGTCCTTGCCCTGGCTCTGTTTGTCGTCTGCTCCATAGACGTGACGTCGTCGGCGCCAACCAACTCTTGTCTGCTGCAGGTAACTTAAGCCTCAGCCTGGTTTCTCGTAACATTTTTTTTTTACTTATAGTATGTAATATTTTTGTACCGTTTGAGATGTTACTGAAATCTTCCACCAAGAGGAAGAGAAAGTTCAACAAATGTTGTCTAACAAGTTTAACTTTCGAATAAGTAAGTGAACTATATTAAATAAAAATGTGAGAATGTGATCTCCGAATTGTTATTAATTTTTTTCTTTATTAATTTTGACCATTGTCCTCACAGTTAATACATGTTCAACTTAATTTGTTCCTTTTTAACCAAAAGTTCGTGAAATGCTCCCTCTGTTTCCTTTTCTCCCCACAATTCGTAGAATATTTAAAAAGCGCTTGAAATATTCACTTTCTTTTTTGTTTCACCAACAGTGCATTAAATGTTCATTGTGTCTCACCAACAGTGCATAAATTGTTCCATTTGTATCACCAACAGTGCATTAAATGTTCACTTTGTCTCACCATCAGTGCATTGAATGTTCACTTTGTCTCACCAACAGTGCATGAAAGACGTGCTCAAATGTAAACGTGATGAGAACGTCGGCATTGTGTCTGAGATGGAATGTTGTGACAAGTACACACTGTGTTACTTCATGTGTCAACCTGATGCTGAAGGGCCACCTCCGTAAGTACCGGGGGAGGGGTGGTTTCTAATTTGGGGGACATTGTGTTACTTCATGTGTCAACACGAGGCTGAGGGGCCACCTCCGCACGTAANATGGGTGACATAGTGTTACTTCATGTGTCAACACGAGGCTGAGGGGCCACCTCCGTAAGTAAGGGGGGGGGGGGTCTAACATGGGTGACATAGTGTTACTTCATGTGTCAACACGAGGCTGAGGGGCCACCTCCGCACGTAATTAAACACTTAAAAAAAAAAGAAGTACAGTCCAAGCAGTTTGTAAAATGGTGTGCCTTGTGACTCATCCCTGTCAACGTGTTCCAGGTGCAGCAGCAGTAAAGGAAAGAGAGGAAGTTGGAACAAGAGAGGATCATGGAACAAGCGCTCTTTGGGTTCAGAGTTTGAGGATGGTGCTGACTTTGAGAATCATTTCTATGAATAGGCATCGAGACTCTACGGGAATTTCTTACTTTTGTCTGTGTGGGTCCAGACGTTAAACGAAATTGTTGCTTTGCATTGGGCCGGCTAAACATTTTAAGTGTAACAGGTTTTTTAAATGTTTTCTAAAAATAACTTTAAATTTAAAAAAAAAACGTTTGGAGAAATGAACTATGTAGGAAAAAAAGGAAGTAATAACGATCAAAGCTTTTAAAATATTCATACATTTAGAAACCATTTTGAAATATGATAATGTGGTAATTATTTGATAACTTGATTTTATTTATTAAAATGGTAATGCTCGTTATATTGTGTTGTCTGGATTCATTACTTCATGATTGCAAGTTTTAGTAGTTATTTATGTTCACACTGAAATGCATAACATAATACATAGTAGATTTATATAGGAATATACATATATATATATATATATATATATATATATATATATATATATATATATATATACACGTCATATAGAGATAAGTGAGACTGTATGTTATAAGTGTTCCGATCGATCACAATAAAACCAAACAATTGATCTCAACCCACTTTGACATGGTCATTCTCCTGGCCTACAGAAGGTCAGTGTTTCTTTCAGAAATTTCCCCCCTGGGGGGCACTTCAGATTTTTCGGAGGGGCAGCGCCAGTAGTTCCAGTTGATTTATTGTTGGATATATTTTTGCTCCGGGCTTTCCCAGGGGGGGGGGGCACTGCCCCCCGGAGATTATAACTGAAAGAAACCCTGCAGATGGTGCCTTGGAAGTTTGGACATGATCCCCTTATCGCGAAAGCTGTCATTTCAAAAAATCCTAAAATGTAGAGAGTAAAATTAATTATAATAATAGCTTCAACGGTCGATCAAGTTATTTTTTGTTCATGCATTTTAATTCGCTTTTATTCAGAATGGTGTGCTTTCAATCATCTATCAAATGAACTTTTTTGTTTTTTCGTGCAAGCATTTTAAAAAAGCGTTATTCTATAAGCATTGAAAACAAAATAGTGCATTAGAATTGTCCAATTGTCCAGGGGCGTGCATAAATGGAGCTGTGGAGTACCTAGGGCTTTACTGTCATGGGTGCCCTTTTATAAAATTTCTATGATTAACTTTATATAGTAGATCTGCGTGTGTGTTTGGAGTGGATTATCGTAAGTTTTGGATTCAGTCCCTAATCGGCATTTAGTAAAACTGCGCTACTGAATGGATGGGTGCATCTTAGAAGGAAAGCAATGTCATAATGACGTCATTTGTTACACGGGAACAATTTGTGTCCAAGTAGATCTCACTATAAATAAACTAAATTATTTTTACATGTATTACATTCAGTGTAAGCTTCGTAAATGCTAAATACAATAACAAGAGTGTTGGATTGCGATAAAGCTTTAAAATAGATGAATAAGGCACGAATTACTTGTTTCTATATAACAATACATGCTAAGCTTTAATAAGTTTGTCTATATTATTTTCCTGACATCAGATATAGACTAGGTCAATGTCATTGTCCTCTTATGTTTCTTATGTTCTTGTAAATCTCTGTGAATTTCCTCAAATGCTTTGACCTCGGATTCTAAGTTCCAAATGAATGTAACATGTCGTACAATGTATATAACCAAAGCTGTCGACCTACACACTGACTTCGGTCATAGCGAAAGCGTCCATGTCAATTGTTGAATCAAGACAAATCGTGGTCAAAAGTTTATGTTATTATCCTTTTATGGTACATCGTTGGATTCAGAATAATAATATCCCTATTTGATGTGAAGTGGGGTCCCTTTCCTCAACCGGTTTTAATGGAACGACTTGTTAATACAAAGCTTGTTCGTTATCCAACCTAAGATTAAACTGCTGTAAACTATGTAAGATTAAATTCGTATTTCCTACGTGAGTTATATAAATGAAATGTCGGCTAATATATCTTTTCAAAGTTTTTTAAAGCTGTTTCATCAGGAGCGGTCGATGTATTATAAGGGTTTTAAGATTATATGAATGTCCTTTCCTGGTGGTGTTGTTTAATGTGTCTATAAGTGTCTATAAGCATCTATAAGTGTCTATATGTGTTTATAAGTGTCTATAAGTGTCTAGGATTGTCCTCAGACGGTATAACATCAAATGTATAATTTTTTTTTTTTTAAAGTTTCTAGAATTTCCCAATGGATGTAGGAAGTTCTAAAATTATTTTCTCCCCAACAGCCAAGGCTATAGAAGAAGGCTAAGGTCAGAGTGCAAGCTTCAACGTAAGGTATTGCATCTAGACCAAACTTGGTCAACATTCGTTTCAAGATCCTTATAACTATAAGTATGTACATTTCAAGTTGATCCTGTCTCCATCGTGTTGTGCAGGGCGGGGTCCAAGTTGGTTGTTAAAAGAAACGACTTATCGTTTTGGTTTTTTCAACCAATTTTAAATGGGAGAACTTTTCAAACAAAGTTTGTCATCCAATCTAAAATAATAACTGCTGTACTCTTGGCACCGCGGTCCCCAATATGGCCCCGTGATCCCCAAATATGGTACCTTGGTCCCCAATAAGGCACCGTGGTCCCCAATATGGCACCGTGGTCCCCAATATGGCACCGTGGTCGCCAACATGACACTGTGATCCCCAATATGGCACCGTGGTCCCCAACATGGCGCCGTGATCCCCAATATGGTGCGGTTGTCACCAATATGGCACCGTAGGCCCCAATATGGTGCGGTTGTCCCCAATAAGACACCGTGGTCCCCAATATGGTGCCTTGGTCCCCAATAAGGTGCCGTGGTCCCCAACATGTCACAGTGGTCTCAATAGTAAACAGTTAAATGTCAACATCTTTGCAAATTCTTTCCCATTTTAATGAGATAAATCTAAAAAATTAACTGAAATATTTTCTGAATGATTTGTAAAGTTTCCCTAAACTAAAATTGCCTCTTTTTGAATCAGGATCCTATTTAAATGTTACTTGATGACGGGGTCATAGCGCTGCTGTTTGGTATATACCTGCTTTAATGAGACTTCATCCGAAAGTTAGATTTGGTCTTTAAATCAAAATTAATTTCATAAACGGAAATCACGTTTGTACAATTCATTGCGGTGCATAGGGGAGGTTGGACATTATTACAGTATCCCATGGTGCAGTGGCTTGTATAAAGTATGCTTTGGTACAGTGGCATACATAACGTATGCTTTGGTAGAGTGGCATGCATAAAGTATGCTTTGGTAGAGTGGCATGTATAAAGTATTCTTTGGTAGAGTGACATGCATAAAGTATGCTTTGTAGAGTGGCATGCATAAATTATATTTTGGTAGAGTGGAGTGTATAAAGTATGCTTTGGCGAATCTAGGGGTTTACTGACCTTCTATTTTTTAATTTGCAATATCACCTTTTTATCAAATGTGTTTTGGGATGGGAGAATCAAGGGGTTGAGTTAGCCCCAAATCAACATTTAGTCAAAGTATGGGTGATTGCATTTGATGAGGATAGCACTGTCTCAATGACGTCATATGTTACATTATTTCAGTCAACATGAGATTACATTTAAAAAAAAAAAATACTTTACATGTTGTACATAAGCTGCTTAAATTTAAATACAAGACAAGATAAGTTTATGTCTCAATTTAATTTCTGACACCTGGAAATCCCACTGTAGCGGTACAGTGTCAAACCTTGGCTCTAAATAAAATTATTGAGAGGGAGAGATAATCCCCTGCGAGATGAGATGTTCCAGACGAGCTGCTAGCAAAACATGAAGATCCCAAAATAGGAACAAGGAAATAAGACAAATGGTTGGTGCCATCCCAATATATTTTGCTAAACAACAAATAGGTTGGGACGTCTGGTCGGAATACCTGTCAACAAACCTGCATTCCGAGCGTACTATGGTTTCAGGAACATTAACTCAAAGTAAAGGGGCATAAAATTCAATGTTTACAAGAATTATTATAACTCGGGCCTCTAGGAGGAGAAAAATAAAATGTGAATAGGGACTTTAGCAAAGTGTTTTTGACTACGTGTTCGCTTACACCGCCCACTTTATGAGATTTGGCTTCCAAGACAAACCCAAACAAAGCCGGGTATATTGGCTAGTAATACAACTATAGTATATATCTCTCTATCTCTCTATCTCTCTATAATATATCTATATATCTATTAGTCCTTTGATGTAACAGAACGCACCCAATAACATTCTGGCGCCTAGTTTTGACGTATTTAATTCTAAATCATTGGAATTTAATGTTTTTATTATTTTTGTTAAAAATCAATATAAGTTCTAGACACCATTTTTGAAAAGGGGATTTTAGAGGAAGGGGGTGGGGGAAGGGGGCTAAAAGAGTTTTCTAAGTCACCTTTTGCTGGGGTGGGGCTTGTTCGGAAAGCGTCCACCAACACCTATATTAAAAACTTGAAATTGAAATTTCAATTTTTGGTAGATTTTTAACAACACTTGTAAAGAAATAAACAGTGTGAATCTGAAAGGTTGTACAAAAATTTATTGATCAACAAGTTTTGATTTTAATAGAAAAAAATCAATTATAAATAAATTTAAATATTAATTTTAAAAAATGAAAGTGTTGAAACATCATCAAAACAGGGGTAATAAAGATACACACCACCCATTCACATCAGCATCATATTTAAGGAAAGATATTTCGGTGCCGGGAATTACCGGAAAAAATCCGCACCAGATGCGTAAATTGTTCTCAGTTTATCACTACTCACAAAGTCTAATGCATAGCATTTCATTCATACATACCATATATTCTTATTCATATGATATAATCTAAACCATGTCTCATATTATCTGATAGATACGTCATAATCTCATACATGCCTCCACTTCTTGGTGCTTATCGTGTGCTACACTAAAATTAAATTAAATGCATCTATTGTTGTCTCAGCTAATATTCATCAAATAAAAATGGTGAAAATGCAATACAAATTATTATAATAA